ATTTGGTTTAGATGTGCTCAAAGACACATCCAGCCTACGTACAAAAATTGTCCCTCGCCATTTAGTGTGTATCAGAATTTCGACAAACTTCGCTTAGCTACGTTGCATTATGATGAACTTCAATGAGTATAGATATATAGCGATGAACTGCGGCATTGTTTCGCCTTGCCGCACTTTTTTAAACACGGTGACGTCACATTCAATCAAATTTGGACTGTGTCACGTTGCTTAGGAATGTTATGTCACATTCGTTACCTTTGCCTCGCTCTGACCTTCTGCCCACTCGGGCATGGCACGCAGAGTCATGTCATGTTATAACCAACTTGTCAACAAGTCAGAGTCGTTTAAATGTGACACAACAATGTTTGAATATAACAGCGCTGGCATGGTCCAGTTCTGCCCCACCAGGCACCGCTGTCGTTCTTGCCTCGTTGTTTCTTCGTTCCTCTTCAGTTTGTCTCCTTTTTTTTCCGTCGACGACGCCGACCCCAGTCCAGTCCGCTCCTTCTGTGGGCCGCCGCACCGCACCGTCTGGTCGGATTTGAATACTATTGAGCTCCAGACCTTTGTTTCTAAAGGCCTGCCCTTTCTTGTCCTGGTTGCTGCTGTGCGGCTGTAGGGGGCACCGCGAGGGCGCTGCCGCCGTCGAGGGGCGTAGTGTGAAACAGTCTACTTTATATATATATACGCTGGGCCGACAGTTAGTTGCTGCAATACTTATAAGCAGCTTTTACGCCCTTGCGTGTCCCCGGGGAAGGGAGCCGAAGAGCGCGAGAGCCCAAGAGAGAGAGAGACAGAGAGGGGGAGAGAGAGAGAGCGAGAGCAATTGAGGGAGAGAGGGTGTTGAACCACGTGGCCGTGACCTGCCCGGGCTCTGCTGCTGCAAGTTTGTTTCTCTGCTGAGCTGCTTTATGTTTCAGCAGCTTACATCACATAGCAGCAGGCGGACCCGAGCTAACCTCCTCGAGCCGCCTTCTCACCCTCTCTCCCCGTGCCCTCCCAATCTAATAATTGCTTTCGTATGCATACGGAAAACGTGCATCATCCACCACATGGTGTTCCCACAAAACCGCGTGGGAACGAACACTTAAAATCCTTATCATCGCAAATTGGTTTCTTAGCTGTGAATCATTTGGCGGCTTTCCGTTACAAGCCAATTGCTTTGTAACTCACAAAAATTTGCAATTAGCCCAAGGAGAGCATTTCTACTGTAAATAAAGTCTTGATAACAAAAGTGTTTGTTTGGTGTTGCAGGTACTATGCCATCACCAAGCCGCTCGAGTACGGCGTGAAGCGGACGCCCCGCCGCATGGTGGGCTGCGTGTCGCTTGTCTGGCTCATGGCCGCGTGCATCTCGCTGCCGCCGCTACTCATCCTGGGCAACGAACACGACCCCCCCGACGGCAAGGGCCCGCCGCAGTGCACGGTGTGCCAGAACTTCGGATACCAGGTGGGTACTTGTCGACAAACTCAAAATGTTTTTTCTTTCTTTCTTTTTTCTTTTTTGAAACATAATTTTGGCGCCAGAAATATGACGCACATTCTATATGATTTCCCTTGACAAAGTTTAATTGACGATGAGACACCATTGTATCAGCTCGGATAAAAGTTTTCTCATAGAAAATAAACATCATAGTTTTGTCTCACTCAGGGAAGGGATGTGCTTTTTAAGACCTTTCGGGGGAAAACGTTGTCACATCTTATTTAGAATGGATTTGTTCTAGTTTTTCTCGGTCAAAAGTGTTGTAGCGTTTCGCCAGTATGGTTAAAATGTTGCGCATCGTCAGCGGTCTTGTCAGGTCAGTTCTGTGAAATTGAGGGCCGAAACTCACAAAACAGTTACACGCACACCGTCACCGCGTTAATACTTGGTCACCCACTTTAATTAAGCGATGAAAATCCACAAACCTGCTTTATATGTAAGTGGGCCGTTTATTGGCCGTAAAGTTCCGCACAAAAGTAAAAGCGCACCCGGTCATACGCTTTCCTCTTTGGGCGGCGTATGGCGCGAGAATGCCTTCCCAATTCCACTGTGCCAATAGAGCCGCTGCTAATAACGCGCCAGCTTATTGTGCTCTGACACAATGTCCTCCAGTGGGAGAGGAAAAGGAAGAGAGAAAGGGGTGGGGGGCAACGCAAATACAACTTAGTGGACCCGCACGAACGTTCGGAGGAGGCCAGGCGGCCGTAGGCCGGGCGCCAGAGCCCGAGCACAAAAGTAAGTTGTTGGGTCCGCGCTTGTTCCTTGTTCGACTTGCGTCCCGCACCAACTGCTGTGTGTTAACTTGATGGCCTTTTGTGTGACGCGGCGGCGGGAGGGGCTGGGGCAGCTCCTCCTCCTTGAGCTGGTGCCGGGACAGCAATGACTGTGTGGCACTTTGTAGTGTGTGTGTGTGTGTGTGTGTGTGTGCGCGCGCGCGCGCGTGCGGGCGTGAATGTGCGGGGGCACAATGCGTCGAGCGTACTCACCGCGCGGGCCTGATCTCCCAACTAGGGGGGCCGTGGAGTTGAGTGGCTGCGCGGCTGAAATACCCTGCTCCACTAAGGCGCAACACGAGCAGACGGCGAGACTATGGCGCATAGTACGCATCTGCGCGTGGCTTTCTCAGTGAGAAATAAAGGTATTATTTCGTTTTGAAACATTTTCAAACAGCTTGAGAACTATGTCAATAAGGCACGACAACACTGTGCAAATTGGGGGAATTTCTTTATTCAGTTTTCTTAAAGCTGTGCCAAAGAGCACGTACAGTATTATACAATTTTGAGAAATCATTTGAGAGGGCTAGTATCCTATTCCCCTGTTTTATACCCAAAGTATGTTATCATTGAATTGATGCACCCACAGCCACGCGGGGATTTTCTTCTCCGCGTAACCGTTTTGCGTTGCTCGTGAGTGAGTGTGGGTTCAACAGTTTAGCAGCAGGGAGGGCAGCGAGCCAATTAATTAAAAGGCATACGAGGTTGCCAGCGCACGCTCGCCAAACTTTGATTTCTATTCGTTTGTTCGCACGGCTCGTATGGTCCCTGCACTCTCCCTGCGTGTCTCTATGCCTCCCTTTTTCTCTATAACTTTGACTCTGTCCCTCTCACGCGCTCACCTTGTCTCTCTTCTTCACCAGCAGCTCTCGTTTCCTGGCCAATCCCCCGACTCACCCCTCCCCCCGCCCCCTTCCCCCCGGGGGAACGGGAAACCTGTGGATGTAATTGACTCCCCATTTCCGCTTGTTGGCTGCGGATATTGTGTTCCCGGACAGATTACACACTTGGTACAAAACGCGCTCACGGCGCAACCTTTCTCTTCTCCGCTCCTCTCGGGCCCCTCTCCTATTGAGTCAAGTATGGGGCCGCTGCAGCAGGTACTCCTCCAGCAGGCTCTGGTCTGCCGTCCCTACCGCATCCGTCTCGGTCTGTCGGAAAAGTTGGCTGTTCCGGAACAAGAGGAGGACCGCGCGCCGTTGGCCAGTCTCGCTCTCCGTGTTGACACAGCTGGAGCGGCCCGTCGCAGCCGTGATAGGAGCGCGGTGGATGGGGAGGGGGGGAGTATCCCTCCCAAACCCAGCCGGCTAGAAGGAAATTAAATCTTATTTAATTCATTCAGAGGTTTTAAGGAGCTCTGTTTGGAAACAAATACTCTTCTCTGTAATCATTTTGAGTTGCGTATTTGGCACACTGAGTGCGGAGCGGTCGACGCGCCGTCCTGGTCCCTCACGATCTCGAGCTTATTGCCGGACTCGATCGGCAGGATTACCGGCCTAAAGGGTGCGAGGCGAGGCACGCGTGGTGATGGAGGAGGAGGAGGAGGAGGAGGAGGGGGAGGAGGAAAACGACATTTGACGTCAGGACATCAGTGCGACAGAGCCCCCGAGCTGTTTCCAACCCCGATGGAGCTAGAGTGGCTCCCGGGCGGCGCTCAGGACGGACGCGCGGATGAAAATAATTGAAAAAAATATGTTGAGAGAATGAGAGTCGGGAGGGTGAGAGAGAAGGGGGGGGGGGTCCATGCCGTTGTGTTCGGATAATCCGCGCGCCCAACACAACGACAACCACGAGATGCGGGCGCGTTGTGAGCGCGCGGCGGCGGCGGCGTTGCGAGCGACTGCGCGCGCGTTGATACTGCTGTCAGAGCGCCGCCGCCCCGCCCCGCCTGCGCTATACGGCTGCTCTACGCCTCAGACGGGAAATTCTATCGGTCGCACCAGCAGCGGATATAAGAGCATTATGAAAGCGTGAGGGACTTTAGAGGGGAAGAGAGGCGTTCGCATTTTACCCCATCCGCCCGCGCTCCTTTGCCTGCCCTGCCCTGCTGCCAGAGCCCTAGCGGCAGTAGCAGTAGAATGCACACCCCTTTGTAAGATTGATTTAAATACTCAAAAAAGCAACCATAAGTCCAGAAAATGCAATAATACGGCCATCAAGCGATGCAAACGATAGTACAATCCGGCTAATAGTAGGAAAAAGAAAGGAACGCGATTGTATTGGGAATAATAAAACCTGGATACGCTTGTTTGTCTTCTAAAAAGTAAAAAGTGGTTTCCGACCTCACCTACGTGTCTCAATATTATGGTAACAGCGACATGGCCTCAAACGTGGCACTCCAAGCAAAACAAAATCTTTCTAAAACACGGGAAAAATTAGAAAATCCAAATTAATTTAATTAAAAATAACAAACACTTCAAAGCAAAGTAAAAGCAGGTCGCTGGGTCGTGGTAAAAGTAAATCGACTAAAAGCGGAAGGTGCGTACGGCTCGACGCAAATACCATCTGTCGGACGGCGTCCCACGGTTGGCGACGTCCTTGACGTGCCATCCCCGTTCCGACGGCCTGTCGAAAGCTGACGCGCTGCGGACGGACGCGCGCCACGCTGTGAGCGCCGTGGCGTTAGGCAGACGGGGGCGCGCTTGGCAGCCCCGTGCTGCGGGTGGCCTATCTCGTCGCTCCAGGCGCTTGAGCCTATCTGCTCAATCCGACCGCGCCAGCTCTCTCTCTCTCTCTCTCTCTCTCTCTCTCTCTCTCTCTCTCTCGACGTGACCTGTAAATTCTCTCTCTTTTCACCGGGTTCATCTGCCGTCGCTGCTGTTTTTCTTACCCCTCGCCCCACCTCCTGCTGCTCAGTATCCCTCTGTGGCTCGTTTCAAGGCGAATTTTTTTCGTTCCCCCTTTTTTTTGCGCAGCAGCCGGTGGCTCCGGTTTCCTCCTCTTCCTTCTACGCCCGAGTGTTTGGCGGCACGCATTCGGTACGCGTAAATTTTGAAAGACTCCACGCCGAGCTCGTGTGCCTGCCTGTGCCGTTTGTCTGTCGTCCGGTGCAGCGGCGCTGCGGGCGCGCCCAACGGCCGGCGCTGCGGGCGCTGTGTCTCCCATATAAAATCCATCAGGTGCAAAAGCGGGGGCTGACCCTTCCCCACCCCGCACCCCTCTACTTCCTGCTCCGGCGGCAGGGCCAGCTGGACCAGGGGGCGGGGGCCCAGGCCCTGTGGGCCCGCCCTCCTGCCGCCGCTCTGTCGGATGCTGTTTATATTTCATGCCTCCCCACCGTCCACAGTAGCAATTCCAGCTCAACGTACGTTGTTTTTTTTCGCTTTTTTCTGCTGCGTGCGTTTCTTTTCGTCTTCCCTGACAAATAACAAAATAATTCCCCCCAAAAAAGTTAAACACACAGAAAAAAAAACTGTTTTTGCGGTGGAGAGAGGAAGGTGAGGGTCTCCGGGAAGTGGAACAGTGAAGCCTCCCGTTACGGTATAATCGCCTTCCTTTGAGTAGCAGGTGATGAAAGTCTTCCCCCTGATAATCTGCACGATGCGAAATTTTTCACGGTCTCTCCCACTGCTGCAATTGCAGGCCAGCAGATTAATGTCTGCATCTTTTTAGGTTTTGTTCATTACCTGACCTTTTTTTTCATTTCTTTACTCTCTCTGTTTTTTGAAAATTATTTTCGCTTTAGTTTTTTCTAGTTCTTGTGGAGGGTATACACTGATTTTATTTGATTGACGTACCCCCTCGTACCTGACGCGTATGGCGCCTGTGTTTGCAGATCTACGCCACGCTGTGGTCCTTCTACATCCCGCTGACCGTGATGATCGTGGTGTACTACAAGATCTTCCGGGCGGCGCGTCGCATCGTGCTGGAGGAGCGGCGCGCCCAGACGCACCTGGGCCCGCCGGGCGGGTACCTGCAGCCGCCGCCGCACAACGCGGCCGCCTGCTGCACGTACCACCACAACAACCTCGGCCCCGCGGCGCCGGCGGCGGACCGGGAGGACCGGGCGGCCGCTGGTGGTGGCGCTGGTGGCGGCGGCGGCGGAGGCGGTGGGGGCGGGGCGCCCGGGGTCAAGAACGGTGGCACTTCCCCGGACGTGATCCTGGCCAACAACTCGTCGTCGTTGCTGCTCACCACGCCCACGGGCGTCAACAGCTCGGCGCCGAACGCCTCGCCGGGGTCGTCGCCGGCGGCGAGCACGCCGGCCGCGTCGGGCCGTCAGCACCGGCCTTCCACGACGAGCACCAACACAACGGTGAGTCAGAGAGTGCGTGAACCGGATAGAGATGCTTGGATCCCCATCCCCACCAAAAGAGTAGATTTATTTCCGTGGTCAAATATTTCTAGTTTCAATTATTTATTAGTGGACATTAGTCATTCATTTACTCAATTTCATTGATTTCCCGCCCGCTCGGGACTAACTATCAGTATAAATGCCGTACTTTTTGCTCACGCACCTTGAAGTGATTGAATGTTACGCACTGCCGCTCTATCCCAGAGTAAGTGCGTGGGCGCGGCAACATTGTATCGCCCT